GGAGGGGGAAGCAGACTCCTAGGACCCTGAGATCATGACCTGAGCCAAAGGCAGAGGCTTTAACCCACTGAGCCACTCAGGTACCCCTCATCTCAGTTTTCCTTGGAATTTAGATACTACTGTATGTATGTCTTCATTGTAAATAAACATCGTTTATATTTGATACAGTCTTTGTCACAAAATAATACAAAACTAAATAAATTATGTCATTTTGGCAAATTATTTTATTTTATTTAAAGATTTTATGTATTTGACAGAGAGAGATAGGCAGAGAGGCAGGCAGAGAGAGAGGAGGAAGCAGGCTCCCTGCTGAGCAGAGAGCCCGATACGGGGCTTGATCCCAGGACCCTAAGATCATGACCTGAGCCGAAGGCAGAGGCTTTAACCCACTGAGCCACCCAGGTGCCCCAGCAAATTATTTTAAACAACATGCTACAACATGAAAATGGACAATTTGTTTTTCACCTCTTTTTACTTGTCTGTTTTTAAGAGAAATATGTTATTCATTAATCAAGTATTAAGTGACTAAGATTTTATTGTGCAAAACCTCTCAATGAAAGAAGAGTGACAGAAGGTGGAATTTCAGAATTACTTAGGTCATTCATCCCTTCCAGTCATTGCAAATTTATGTTACACAGAAAAGTCTCAAAAAGTTTGGCAGGCAGCTCAATTTGAACACATTTCAATAATATTTCCCTTATGTATATTTATACAATTCCATTATAATTGGTTATGAATTTTCATATATTAAGTATGTTTAATATTGAAATTATACTAATAATAATTGAATTTCTAAAAAATCGAGTGATTCTTTAGAGCAAAATCAATGACTTATAAAAAGTTATTCAGGGTTCCTCGTGGCAGGTCAGTTAAGCAACTGACTCTTGATTTTAGCTCAGGTCATGATCTCATAATCATGGAATGGATCCGCACATCAGACTCCATGCCCAGCAGGCGTCTGCTTGAGATTCTCTCCCCACTCTCTCTCTACACATTCTTTCCCTTCTCAGGAATTTATTCAGATACAAATGCAAAAATATGATGATTGAAAGTATATTTCTATTTGCATTAGTCTCCAGATTAGTATGTTCCAGAGTAGAAGTCCCTTGTTATAATTTTACATGCATCTAATCTTGTAGGTCATATGGAAGTGGTATACGGTATGATCATAGCATGTTCATATGACATGTAGACCTCAGGTGCAGCAGATAGGACCAGAGGATCAAACCTCCCTTTGTAAACATATAAACCAGTGCAGACATATCTGTGCTATATGGGTGACGTGTAAGTGCTATCTATTGTTATTGCCATCTTTATTACGATCATCTTCAGAAAATGGGAGCTCTGTCATTCCTTACAAGGGACAAAGGTATCTTAAGCTAATGAGCTTAGCACCTTTGGAATCTAGTCTTCAGTCCTTGCCACAGCAGTGTTCAGTCACTAAGCATGGAGTTGAGGGTGTGCTGGGAAATTCAGTTAAATTCCTGGATCTTTTCTTATTCTGTTTCACTTCACAAAATGTTTGGGATTGAAATAGATGGACCCTAAGCTGTCCTTTAACACCTAAAAATATAACAAACAAAGCAAAATCAGATATATACATACACAGAATGAACTAACAGGGAGGTGGGCGGGTGCTGGGCAAAATGGGCGGAGAGGGTGGGAGATACACGTTTCCAGTTATGGAATGAATAAATCGTGGGAATAAGAAGCACAGCATAAGGATTACAATCAATGATACTGTCACAGGGATGTCATGGGACAGGCGGGAGCTACACTTGTGGTGAACACAGCATCATGTATAAACTTGTCAAATCACTAAGTTGTATACCTGAAACTCATGTAACATGGGGTATCAATTACAGTAAAAAAAATACATCATATGGTCCCAAGACCTTTGACAGATATTAGAATATTGTTGAATATGCTATAAGCACTTCTGAACACTGCACTGGGGAATACTACCTTATAAATGTTGAGAACCAAGAAAAATATCAAGGAACCAAGGAACCAAGGAATCAGGGAACCAAGAAAAACTCATTATTTGACTATGACAAAGCTGGTCGCTGCTTTGACAATTCTAATCTTTACTCCATATGTGTGCAGGTGTGTATGGAGTAAGATTAGAGAAATATATTAAATATGAATATTAATGTGTATGATGTAATTATGTATAAGATAGTATATTATCTATAAGCTATATATATATATATATGATCTATATTATATAAACTCTATACCTATCATCATCAAGAAAAACAAAAATGTAACGTAACATACTCTCCTAGGCACTAATATTGAATGAAACAATACCATTTGTGGAACTTGAAACTCTCTAAATAGAATTCCTTTGTTTCCTCATTAAGAGCCTTTAAAATGACATAACCCCTCATTTCTGAGTAGTAGCACTGATTGAAGTTCTGTTCTTATTGTTTTGGAATTATCATCTCATATCTGGAAAACATTGATTTCAATACAGAAAGACTTAGTCCATCCCCACATCCTTCATCACACAATGACTTTGATTTTAGGCATATGCTATGGTAGATTCCACCCAGTTTTAGCTGCCCAAAAAAGCAAGAAAAAGCAGAATATTCAAACGCCGCATAGGCAACATGACGCAGAGGATAAATTTGTTCTAATCGAAGCTTATTGTAAAGTGATGAGATAATCACAGAGAAAGCTTCGTAACACTCATCATTGAAATTAGAGCGATAAACCTACCCCTCGTGCTGGAATATAAAGGACTGGTGTGCTTTCCTCCCACGGACGAAGAAGGCCAAGTTTTTTTCTGAATTCAACATTGAAATGTCCACCCACTTGAAGGACTTCTGGAGATCATTTACGTACATGCACGAAAACTCTATTTTTTAGCTCAGATAGAAATACTTCTAATGGCATTTGCACAGTATAATTCACCATTTCTTGCATAAGCAGAATTCTAAATACTCACAGAACTCAGTCACTGTTAGAGTTGAATGGGACCTTCAAGGTTTACCAGTTCTTTCCCTACAAAACACTGACATTGCCCCTCCCCCATTCACGTAACATGATGATTCATTTTCCGACTGATCACTCTCCATCCAGAGCCCATATCCTCCATGGGAATCCATTCAGTTTTGGAGCATTCCTATGAGCTAGACATGTTTTTCCTGAATTTCATTTAGATGTTTCCCTAAAATCTAGCAAACAAATCTCAGCTCTCAGACAACATAAGTCTAAGGTAGTTATCACATTTCGAACAACAACAACAAAATCTCTAAGATAAACACTTCTCCTCCTTTGACCTGGACTCATGTTTCCAGTGGCTCCTGATTCCTGCTCAGCCTATTCTAAGTGATTACTATCCTCCTCATTCACAGAACCCAGAAAAGAACAGATTATGTCATCTGTAGTCTTCCCATGAGATGATCTCCTTTGAGTTGTTTATTTCAATTTCCTTAATATAAGCTAATACTGCTAAGCTATTTTTGTCCATTATTATTATTTTTTAAGATTGGCTCAAAATGAATTTGAATGAAATACAACTTCAGGAAGTCCTAGGAGTTAGGGTTCTTCTATACTACTGTTGTTTTAGTCAATATTTGAAAGATAAAGATATATAAGTTCATTTTCCCCCTCTTACCTTTCATGGTACAGTTTTGATAAAAACTGAAGACTTTTGTGATATTGTTTAAAAACCTGATAATATTCTCCAACATATAAGCTAACCCTACTATATGTGTATCATTTAAATTAAATAGGAGTTCTCAACGTATTATCACCCAAGACTGAAAAGAATATCGAATAAGTACCTTTAACCTCTCACCAAAGGCAAGAGCTATCGTCCACTGTGGAGTAATCATCAGTGAGGACATTAAATGTGCTATCTTGAAGCCTGAATTTCTTCCAAGAAAATGACAAGTTTGGTTTTTGTTTTTGTTGTTGTTGTTGTTGTTTTGTTTGTTTGTTTGTTTTTGACCCAATACCTTGCTGAAATCAAGATGCACTACCTCTAACCTTTTGATCAACCACTGAAATGAGGATGTGATGGGAACATGCTGCTTAAATCTGTAATAACGTTGGGCAAGATAATTCGCTCCATGATGGTATCAAGATTTAGAAAGACTGAGTGACATTTGGTACTTCTGGTGTACTAGAACTCTCCAACTGGGTAAATAGAGATGAATTTCACTATATAAAAGAATTGTCAGTATATTTAATATTTATGAACTAAAAAAAAAAAATTGCATGCTGTGCCTATCACCGAGAAATCCTGGAGGTTTCAAAAACATTTTTTTTCTATTTAATAAATAGATTGTTTCAAAATACAAGGTGCTGATTTCTTAAAGCTGAATTTTTCAGTATTATTTTTTTTTCATTTGTATAAAATTATTAAATGTGAGTTATTCAGGGTTTCTAAAGAACATTCCAAATATATCTATTAATATGACTCATTATTTGTTGGAACATAATTTTCTAAAATTGCTGTGCTTTGCACATAACTCTGGATATCACCCATTGTGCCATTTTAAATATTTTCTGAAACGTTTTCTGTTTACTCTCTTCCCAAACAATTCTCTCTCTTTGCCTACGTTAATGGGAACTCTATCCTCTTGGACCTATTTGCAGTACGTGGGACTACAGGAGGAGCTCACTGAAGAGAAGCTACCAAATATTTTTGCGCAGGTTTTTAAGATTTAAACTCAAACTTCATCAGAAGCTGTTCAAGTTCCATGCACTTTGTTAGAGCTAAAGCAAAGAGAAACACAACTGTCATTTCCCGGTTGAACGCTGAGCTGTCTTAAGCAAGGCTATGATGCCTGTGCAGAAGCAGGTCATCAAAAAGTGATCTGTGACTATCTCCTGTCTCTGGGCCCAAATGACGGAAAGGGAATCTCAGAAAGAACTCGGTAGACACACCCTAGTGTGCTCGCACTGCAAGGAGAAACACCGGGAGCCGCTGGCGGGACCTGCCTCCTGGGACCTCCTGAAGGACAGTCAAGTGCAGGGGTTCTTACGTTCTTGGAAGGATGTGAAGAGCATCTGAAATCGGCTGTTCCGACTGCCCTCATCGGCCCACATGCGGATGACGCCAAGACCTGTGCGGAGCATGACGTCATTGGCCACGGTGCTGCAGAACTTGGCCTTCAGGTCCCCCACGGAGCTGCTGCCGTCATACACAGCCACAAAGTTCCTTTTGCATTCGTTTGAATTCTGCATCTCATAGTCCAAGAAGCGTAAGTAGATCTGTAACATAACAACAAAGATGCAGGAATTTCCTCAAACCAAAACAGGAAAGTAGTACAGAGAGCACCAGGCTTTCTCTTTAGTCTCACAAGTCAGTCTTGATTGCAATCAATCTTAGGATGTTTCCCCTGTGGGGCGGAGGAGGTAAAGATGTACAACTAAGATCAAACCGTGCTTAGTATTTTTTTCAAGTGTTATTTTCCTTTCTTGACATATGTAAGTGTATGGAAATAAATAATCTGTATTACTATTAAAGGAAAACAGAAACGGTATCAAAAGATAGTCTCTGATTTCACTTTGTTTAAATCATTTCACAGAACCACACTGTTTCCTTTTTAAAGTAGAGCACATTAAAAAGAATAAAATAAAAGAGAGCTAATCTGTGATTATTCTTGCCACAACATAGAGTCAAGCCATTTAGTGAAGTCCACATAAATAAAAATTAAATTAACATTTAATGAGTAGAATTGCCCTGTAACCTACTCTATAGATTATTTTTAAATACTCCCAACTACTCTATACAGTTTTATTGTCCTATTCAGATGATGAAACAGAGACTCAAGTGGTATACACTGGACATCAGACAAGGTCTCTCTAACTCCCTAGGCTATGAGCCTTCCACAATATAACACTGCTGCGGACATGCTGTTTTATGATCAACAGATTTTATCTGACTCTGTTCCAGTGTGCTTTACAAAATCATAAGCAATTAATTCAGCCAAAGATAGGTTTGAAAAGAAGTCATCAGTCCTTTCAGCCACTGGTTCAGCATTATCTACAACCTGGCCTCTGACTTTATCCCAGTCACTATTCAAGGCACTGAGGAAACACAGGTGCACAAAAGAACGAGGCTCAGTGTTGAAAGTATGTGTTCATTAAACCATGACACATGGACACAAAGTCATACAGACAGAAGTGATATAAAGGAAAAAAAAAAATCTCTGTACTATGAGAGGGATATCTGGAATGGCTCTGAAATAAAGAAAGCACCCTTCACAAATATCTACTAAGCCTTTTATGCTTTCTAACATGAAAAACTATGGGCTATCTCCTCTCAGACACCCTTCGATTATTAATGTACCGTGGGTGTAAACTGAAGACATGTGTTCACCCTAAATATCCATCTCTTTCATCTCAACACTCATTTTGGCTTATTTATTCATAAACTATGAACCCCATACAACAAAAATTTATTGAGTTCGTTTGTCTGCCTTAAACTTAAAAGTTTCAGTATTTCAAATTAAAAAAAAGTTCTCCTTTGCCCTCAACATTCTAACTGAATCCGGCAGTGATACTTGTTAATTTGAACTTCAAAAGAGTTGTTTCTGGGCGCCTGGGTGGCTCAGTGGGTTAAAGCCTCTGCCTTTGGCTCAGGTCATGATCTCAGGGTCCTGGGATCGAGGCCCGCATCGGGATCTCTGCTCAGGGGGAGCCTGCTTCCTCCTCTCTCTCTCTATGCCTGCCTCTCTGCCTACTTGTGATCTCTCTCTGTTTCAAATAAATAAATAAAATCTTAAAAAAAAAAAAAGAGTTGTTTCCATCTCTGCTGGCAGGTCGGTCTATGATATTTCAATAGTCTCCCAGCTGGCCTGGATCTGTCCAAGGTTCTAATTTTCCAGTCCACTTCCAAAGCCCAGGCCCATCAAAGTTATATTTCTAAGAAACAAATTTAATAATCATACTACCATCTTTTAGCTGTTATCTAAATGGTTATAATTTTAAAAAGTTTAAAAACCATGACCTGTCAAATTTTTCTTCTCATGTCTGAACATACCATATTTATTTTACAAAATGCCATCCTTTCTGCACAGGACATCAGTTAAATGTGAGTAACCATTCCTTCTCCTCTGCCTACTAAGCTCTTCCTGGTTTTTCAAGGTCCATTTCAATGGTTACACACCCCAGTCCAGAATATCCGTGGCCTCCACTCCCCAACCATGGCAGAATTAATCTATGCATCCTCTATCCTAAAATATTATTTTGAACTTATTTTAAGCTTTAGTTATAGGTTCTACAAAATTTTTACTACTTTTACTTTCCTAAAAAGCTGGGGCAGTGGCATACATTTTTGCATTTGAGGCATCAAGCCACGTGTTGTATATACTAGGCGTTCCATCAAAGTTTGTGAGGGCATGATTGTGAATGATTGACTGATTGGAGAATTCTATTTTGTTATTGATTTCATTTGTTTATTATCAATCGACTATTGACTGGGCCCCTGTATGTCAGAATGTTTAAAGTACTATAAATAATAATTATATGGAATAATTGACATTTTATTATTTGCAGTAGGAAACCAAATGCAAAAATCCCCCAGACAAGGTGTTTCTTTATAACTCTGAACTGTCAGAGAACCACAAAATAGTATCCTGAAGACTTTATAGGAGAGAATGGACTAAAAATAAAGTGTGAGTCCCAAGTCAAGAAATACTCATATAACCTTGAGGAAGAACAACAGAGAAATAGGGAGAAATGGGCAAAAGTTGAGAAACAGTGGAAAGCATTTGAGTTTTATGATGCTTTTCTTGGTGAGGTTTTCACACAAAGGCAATCTGTAACATTGTAGTTGGAGCTACTCTAAAGTTTCCAAACACTTTGATGCTAATTTTAACTGCCATTACTACAGACATAAAACATATGCCCTAAGAAAGCCTTCATGTTCCTCACTCCCAGGTTATGTTCTACTTCATTTTATCAGAAATTCAGCTATTACTCACGTAACCCATCTGGGATTCACTCTTCCCAACCATTACTTTCCTGAAAGCTATCCAGGAAATCCCCAAATGTCTCCTTTAAGAAGGCATATGTGAAAATGTTAAACCTTCCAAGTTTTCACTAACTACTGTGTTTTTCAAATTTTCACATGGATTTATGAAAAGGGATTGGGTCTTTCAGATGACCTTTACCAGGAAGCTGGAGCAAAGGTGACAAAACAGCTTGCTCAAGGGATGGAAGCAATAGATGTGGGAACCTTAAGTAGGATTAAAATACCTAACTCTTGTTTTAAAGCTCTTTTCACTATACTACATCACCTGATCCTGACCTAAAAGTAAACAGACTGAAAGTACTATAAAAATATAAATACTTACAAAATCTAGGGATTCTTATTAGGTAATATAAACTTGTTAAATGTAATAAAAATCAAGTATATATTTATATTCTCAAATACTATACAATCAACCCAACCTCAAAAGAATTAGCCATCAAAAGAATATGCAATTACAATTGTAAATACACATAGTTATCAGCAGGAGGAAACACTGAGTAGGATACATGAAAGGGCCCTTTGGAGTTCGAATGTAAAGTAACCCCTCCCTCCAGTGCCATTTCAGAGCTACAAAAACCAGTCTGCCCACAGAAAGAGAAATAAATCATTTGACTAATTTAAGGAAGAAAGATATTTGAGAGGCAGATGTTTCCAGGTTGAGTTAGTCAGTGGCCTAAGGTGCCTGCCATCCTATTTTGAGTTTCTTACCCTGCCTGAAGAAACCCAGCTTAAAATGCTAATTTATTATTTGCATCCCAAATTGGCAATAACTTAAGACATTGCGCTAATACATGATTTCATTCCAATCTCTCGACAACAACAGACACTTGTTATAACCATTTTAAAATGAAAAAGATGAGACTGGGAGAAACTAAGTAACCTTTTCAAAGTGACCCAGGCCCTTAGGTGACAGATGAGTTTTGAACGGAGATCCCCCTGACAGTTTCCTCCTTTGTACCGTGCTATGCAGACTGATGTATTTTTTTAATCTCACAGATTTATATTCCAGAAAGAAAATTATCATCTTAAGGAAAACAAACCACAACCAGATAAATGACTAAACCAGCAAAGCCAAACTATTTTGATTTTCCTACAGGGGCAAGGAAACATGTTGACCATCCAGATAAAAATGAGATTCACGGAAAATAAACGTGTCCCACTGAAAGAAAGGGCTGTCTTAAATTTTCTTAAAAAGAAGTTTGTTTCATAGAAGGGCACTGCTATAGTTAGAAAGGCAATTTGCATATTCAGCCAGTGGTTTCTCATTTGACAGCTCAAGAGAGTGTCCACATTTTTCCATACGAGGCAACTGACTGGTATTCTCACATGAAGTTCAATGACAGCGGTCTAAGCACTTCTGTATTTAAAGGCCATTCTTAGACAGGACACCATTTATAGAGGAAGTGAACAATTAGTCTTTTGAAAATGACTTTGAGGGGCTCCTGGGTGGCTCAGTCGGTTAAGCCTCTGCCTTTGGCTCAGGTCATGATCCCGGGGTCCTGGAATCGAGCCCCACATCGAGCTCTCTGCTCAGCAGGGAGCCTGTTTCCCTTCTTCCCTTCCTCTCTCTCTGCCTGCCTCTCTGCCTACTTGTGATTTCTCTCTGTCAGATAAATAAATAAAATCTTTTTTTAAAAAAAAGAAAGAAAATGACTTTGAAATGGAATTGCTAGACCACCTCTTAAAGGGACATCAGGAGTGACACACATCCACATTGTTCAGTGGTTAAGAGGACATGAGGTAGATGACCTTGAGGAAGAAGAAAAGAAGATTCTGTGCCAGACTGGTCATATTTAGAAGACATTTTCATATTACAACCATTGTTTTGTGTCTGCATTTTAACTTCTGTATATATAGATGACAATGCTAAGTACATTTTTGAAATATCTACTCTTTCCAGATACTCTGAAGTGCCTGATAGGTGTTGAAAATAGAGGTAATAAAAAGACATTCTAATAAATATCTTTTTGTTAACATTCAAAAAAATTTTTATATATTTTTTATTTTATATATTTTATATATTCACTTTTATATATTCACTATTTAATATATATTTTATATATATTCACTTCTGAATATATACTATATATATATTTATCTATATATTCACTTCTGAATATATATATTATATATATATTTTTTATGTATATATATTCACTTCTGAAGCGTTCCATTATTTTTTTAACTTCATTTAAAAAAAATCATTTCAGAAAAGATACAAAATATGTCCCTG